CATACTATGGACTGCCAGGAGACCAAACAGCTCCGTCCTAGAGAGGGTGAAACAAGTTTGCTCCTTAGAGGCAAGGATTTTGAGGTTCCATTTCACACATTTTGGGCACATGGCTAGGAGGGACCAGTCCTTAGGGACATCAGGCTTGTAAGGATGGAGGGATAGTGCACGAGAAGACGACCCCGGATGAGTTGGACTGACTCAGTGACTGGAGCAATGGGATTAGGTCTGTCGGAGACAATGAGATTGTTGCAGGATAGGGCAGCTTTCAGAGTTAATGTACACAGGGTCTCAGTCACAGGCGACTCAATGGCACATAACAACAACGTGTCTGATTCAAGCCATGGTCTTTTCAATTGCTTCTGTGGATTTCACCTGAGGGTATGCACAGGAATGAGATCAAGTACATCTGTGGAAACAATTGTTGGAGAAGCTCAATATTAGCTGTGGAAACTAGGCCAGGTGCTACTCTCATATGCAAGTTCAAACTAAAGCTAAAGAAGGTTAAATCAAATCCACAGGAACCAAAATTTGATCTTGATTCTATCCCACCTGAATTTCAAAACCACCTCAAGAACAGATTTGAGGACTTGAACACTAATGAAGGAAGACCCGATGAGTTGTGGGAGAATATCAAGAATATTAGCCAAGAAGAAAGCAAAAGGTCATTACAAAGACAGGAGAAGACAACACTGGGTGGCTGTCAGAAGAGACCCTAAATATTGTACTATACTGTTGAGAAGCTAAAGCAAAGTGAAGCAGGAAATCAAGTAGCTGAACAGAAGAGTTCAAAGGGCAGATGAGGAATAAAAAGCAAAGTATTATCATAAGCATTTCTTAAGCTGAAGGAACTGAAGAACAAATTCAAGCCTTAAGTTGCAATACTTAAGGATGCTATGTGCAGAATATTAAATGATCCAGGAAGTATTAAAAGAAGATGGAAGGAATACGCAGAGTCACTCTACCAAAACAAACTGGCTGACAGAAGAATTTAATGAAACAATATTATGATCAAGACACAATGGTGATGAAAGAGGAGGTTGAAGCTGCTCTGAAAGAATTGGCAAAAACCAAGGCCGCAGGAATTGATGGCATACCAATTGACATATTTCAACAACAGATGTTGCCCTGGATACATTCACCAGGTTGTGCCAAGAAATCTGGAGGAAAACTACCTGGCCAACTGACTGGAAGAGGTCCATATTTATTCCCATTAAAAAAAAAGTGACTTGACAAAGTGTGGAAATTTTAAAATAATATCACACAAAAGCAAAATCCTGCTAAAGATTATCCCAAAATGACTGGAACAATACATTGACAGAGAACTACCAGAAATACAAGCTGAGTTTAGAAGAGGTTGTGGCACTAGAGACATTATCACCAATTTCAAATGGATCTTGGCAGAAAGCAAAGAATACCAGAGGAATGTCTATCTGTGTTTCATTGACTATGCAAAGATATTTGACTGTGTGGATCCCAGCAAATTGTGGGTAATCTTGAGAAGAATGAGAATCCCAGAACACTTGATTGTTCTCATGTGAAACTTAATCATGAACTAGGAAGTAGTCCTCAGAAAAGAGCAGGAAATCACTGTATGATTTAAGGTCTGGAAAGGAGTGTGTCAGGGATGTATCCTATCTTCATATGCTTTCAATCTGTATGCAAAACATCATTTGGGAGGCTGGACTTTATGAGAAGAATGTGATATCAGGATTGGAGGAAGACTCATCAACAACCTGCAATATACAGATGACACAACCTTACTTGTCAAAACTGAGGAGGAACTGAAGTACTTGCTGCAGAAGGTCAAGGACTACAGTCTCCAATACCGACTGAGGCTCAACAACAAGAAGACAAAGATTCTCACCACTGGGCCAATTGGCAGCACCATGATAGCTGGAGAGATTGAAGTTGTTAAAAATTTCAGCTTTCTGAATGAATGGAAATCCAAAGTCTCTGTAAATTTTCATTGAAATTAATAATCATTTTTTTAAAAAAATTCAGCTTTCTCAGCTCCACAATTAAAATTCTTAGCTCCAGCAGTCAGGAAATCGAAAGACGAATTGCATTGGGAAAGTTGGCTGTCAGGGGTCTCTCCAAGGTCCTAAAGAGTAATAATGGCAGTCTAGGGACTAAGGTGCACCTGATCCAGGTCATGGTCTTCGCAATTACTTGCTATGCATCAGAGAGCTGGACAATGACTAAAGATGACAAAAAAAGAATTGATGCCTTTGAGTTCTGGTGCTAAAGAAGAATATTGAACGTACCATGGACCACCAAGAGAACAAATATGTCTGTCTTAGAGATGGTGAAACCCAGTTTCTCCTTGAAGGCTAAGATTTTGAAGCTCCAACTTACATACTTCAGGCATATTGCCAGGAGAGACCAGTCTTGAAGAAAGAGTATGCTTGGAAACCCCGGGTGAGATAGATTCAAAAAGTATCTGGGGCAATGGGAGCATGTGTGTCGGAGTCAATGAGACTGGCTCAGGACAGGGAAGAGTTCAGAGCTATTGTACATAGGGTCAGTATAACTCGATGGCACAGAACAACAACAACCACCTGAAAGTTGCACAATGAATATGGATAATAGATGAATTGATGCCTTTGATTTGTGGTGTTGGAGAAGAGTTCTGAATATCCCCCGGACTGCCAAAACAACAAACAAGTCTGTCCTGGAGATAAATGCAATCAGGGTGCTTTTAAGAGGCAATTATGGCAAAATTTTGTTCCACATCCTTTGGGCATGTTGTCAGGAGAGGTTAGTCTTTGAATATTACAATGAAATGTGCAAGGAGGACTTGGAGTCAGAAAATCAAAAGAACCGAACTCGCTCAGCATTTCTTAAGCTCAAGGAACTGAAGAACAAATTCAAACCGCAAGTTGCTATAATCAAGGTTGCTTTAGGTAGAATATTAAATGATCCAGGAAGTACTAAAAGAAGATGGAAAGAATATACTGAGTCACTGTATCAAAAGGAATTGGCAGACACAGAAGAATTTCATGAAACAACATATAAGCAAGAGCCTATGGTGATGAAGGAAGAAGTTCAAGCTGCTTTGAAGGAA